ACCACCACTACCACCTCTACTTCCACATCTACCTCCACCAGCACTTCTACTTCCACATCAACCTCCACTAGCACCTCTACTTCCACATCTACCACCACTACCACCTCTACTTCCACATCTACCTCCACCAGCACTTCTACTTCCACATCTACCTCCACATCTACCTCTACTTCCACATCTACCACCACTAGCACCTCTACTTCCACATCTACCTCCACTAGTACCTCTACTTCCACATCTACCTCCACTAGTACCTCTACTTCCACATCTACCTCCACTAGTACCTCTACTTCCACATCTACCTCCACTAGCACCTCTACTTCCACATCTACCACCACTAGCACCTCTACTTCCACATCTACCTCCACCAGTACCTCTACTTCCACATCTACCTCCACTAGTACCTCTACTTCCACATCTACCTCCACTAGTACCTCTACTTCCACATCTACCTCTACTTCCACATCTACCTCCACTAGTACCTCTACCTCCACCAGTACCTCTACTTCCACATCTACCTCCACTAGTACCTCTACTTCCACATCTACCTCCACTACCACCTCTACTTCCACATCTACCTCCACTAGTACCTCTACTTCCACATCTACCTCCACTAGTACCTCTACTTCCACATCTACCTCCACTACCACCTCTACTTCCACATCTACCTCCACTAGTACCTCTACTTCCACATCTACCTCCACTAGCACCTCTACTTCCACATCTACCTCCACCAGCACCTCTACTTCCACATCTACCTCCACTAGCACGTCTACGTCCACATCTACCTCTACTAGCACCTCTACTTCCACATCTACCTCTACATCTACCTCCACTAGCACCTCTACTTCCACATCCACCTCCACTACCTCCTCTACTTCCACATCTACCTCCACTACCACCTCTACTTCCACATCTACCTCCACTACCACCTCTACTTCCACATCTACCTCCACTACCACCTCTACTTCCATATCTACCTCCACTACCACCTCTACCTCCACTAGCCACTACTTCCACATCTACCTCCACTACCACTTCTACTTCCACATCTACCTCCACTACCACTTCTACTTCCACATCTACCTCCACTACCACTTCTACTTCCACATCTACCTCCACTACCACCTCTACTTCCACATCTACCTCCACTACCACCTCTACTTCCACATCTACCTCCACTAGCACCTCTACTTCCACATCTACCTCCACTAGCACCTCTACTTCCACATCTACCTCCACTAGCACCTCTACTTCCACATCTACCTCCACTAGTACCTCTACTTCCACATCTACCTCCACTAGTACCTCTACTTCCACATCTACCTCTACTTCCACATCTACCTCCACTACCACCTCTACTTCCACATCTACCTCTACTTCCCATCACCTCCACCTCCACTAACCACCTCTACTTCCACATCTACCTCCACTAGCACACGACTTCCACATCTACCTCCACTACCACCTCTACTTCCACATCCACCTCCACTAGCACCTCTACTTCCACATCCACCTCCACTACCACCTCTACTTCCACATCCACCTCCACTAGCACCTATACTTCCACATCTACCTCCACCAGTACCTCTACTTCCACATCTACTTCCACTACCCACCCTCTACTTCCACATCTACCTCCACTGCCACCTCTACTTCCACATCTACCTCTACCTCCACTAGCACCTCTACTTCCACATCTACCTCACCCAGTACCTCTACTTCCACATCTACCTCTACCTCCACTAGCACCTCTACTTCCACATCTACCTCCACCAGTACCTCTACTTCCACATCTACATCTACCTCCACTAGCACCTCTACTTCCACATCTACTACCACTCCCAACCTCCACTTCCACATCTACCTCCACTCCCACCTCTACTTCCACATCTACCTCCACTAGCACCTCTACTTCCACATCTACCTCCACCAGTACCTCTACTTCCACATCTACCTCTACCTCCACCAGTACCTCTACTTCCACATCTACTACCACTAGCACCTCTACTTCCACATCTACCTCCACCAGCACCTCTACTTCCAATCTACCTCCACCAGTACCTCTACTTCCACATCTACTACCACTAGTACCTCTACTTCCACATCTACCACCACTAGTACCTCTACTTCCACATCTACCTCTACCTCCACTAGCACCTCTACTTCCACATCTACCTCTACCTCCACTAGCACCTCTACTTCCACATCTACCTCCACTAGCACCTCTACTTCCACATCTACCTCCACTACCACCTCTACTTCCACATCTACTTCCACTAGTACCTCTACTTCCACATCTACCTCCACTGCCACCTCTACTTCCACATCTACCTCCACTGCCACCTCTACTTCCACATCTACCTCCACTACCACCTCTACTTCCACATCTACCTCTACTTCCACATCTACCTCCACTAGCACCTCTACTTCCACATCTACCTCCACTGCCACCTCTACTTCCACATCTACCTCCACTACCACCTCTACTTCCACATCT